CCTGCTGGCGGGTGCCTGGGGGCTCTGTGGAGCCCAACCCCTTTGAGAGGCGCTGCTGGGCGTTCCCCAGCAAACCCATCACGCGCAGCTGCTGCGGGGGCGGTTTTGCCGCCTTTCACTGGTGTCTCCTGTTTCTTCCGGGATGTTTGGTGCCGTTGGCTCATCCGGTGTTGTTTACAGAAGGTGTGGATCTCGGCACTTTCCATTCGTGATGGAGATGGTGTTTACTGAGGCAGCACCTTTCCCTTCAGGTTTCAGAAGCAGATCCCTTTGTGGTCATCTCCTCGAGATCCAGGGTGAATCTCCCTCCTCTCTAAGATTGCCTTTGGGGCGCTGTAGGTTCTTGCTTGATAAGGAACTATGATCTGGTGCCTTTTGGTCCTGTGTCCTTTTGGTCCTGGTCCTTTCTGATTGAAGGCATTTGTCACCGCTCTGGATAATCCCCGAATGCTCCAGGGTGGGCCTTGGGCCTCCTATCCCTGCCCCTGGACACCGGCACCACGGCTCTGATGAGAGCACTGCATGTGCCAGGTACTGTCCCTGGTTAGAGTGGTGCTTTTCCCTCCAGGTCTTTGGGAACAAGTCAGTCGGTTTTGGAACTGGCTCTTATGCAGAGATGTCAACAGCTGCCTGGGGTCCTCCTTGTGCTGCTCCTTGTCCCAGAGATCTTGCAAACCAGTTAATTACGATCAAGGGGCATTTGCATTTCTCCCTCTCAGCCTCACGCTGTGAGTTCCCCGCAGTGTTTAATTTTTGAGTTGACGCCCTGGGGCGCGTTCGAGCTGCGCTAATCGTCCTTCAGCTCGGGTGTTGGCAGCGGGGCTGTCGTGACTGACTGGGGGCTGTCCGCAGCGTGCGCGTGCGGGTTCCTGCGGCGCTGGCTGAGCGGGGCTCGGGGCGGCCGGGCGGTGGCGAGGCAGAGGGTCGCTCCCGGCGGTGATCCTGCGAAAAGCAGAAAGATCCACCGTGACAGCCGATGGGGACGCACTGCTGGCTGCCCGCTGAGCTGCCCCAGGCCGTTTGCAGCCCTCTGTGCCGTATCCCTGCTGTAGCCCGCTTGCCTTCAGGCCCCCAGTTTATTCACTGAACAGAGGGTGTCCCACGCTGTGACGGCCATGTGCCACCCTCAGCAAGAGCAGCCTTTGGGCAAGGTGTCTTCTGCACAGAATTTGTTGTTTAGGTGCTGGTGCAGCTTGAGCTGTGGTTGTTCCTGCGACTGTATCGGTGCTGGATGATCCTAAAGGGACGTGTCTGTGACACTTGGGAGTCCCCTGGGCTGGTCACCAGGAGGGTCTTCAGGGACTGAGGCAACATCTTCAAACGGGGAGGCTCTTGTCTCAGCGGTGCAGCTGCAGAGAGTTTGAACAGAGGTGTCGTTACAGCGATTCTCGGTCACAGCAGTGGAAGCTGCCCTTCCCAGAAGAATAAGGATTCAATTTATCTTTCGCTAAAATATCTTGGTGCTCAAAGTCATCCCTGGGAACGATGCTTGTGCTTGGCTGGATGGATGTGGGATGGTGCACGCCTCTGCTCCCTTCTGTGGGCAGCCTGAACCCGGATGGACGTGGGGTCTGAGAAGCCTGGTGGATTCTGCTGGTCCCTCGCAGTGTGGTGCTGTCGAGTGCAGACAGACGTGGTGACGGCACGGAAGAGGCTGTTGGGGTAATGTCGGTGGAATGAGGTGCTGAATCGCACTGGGGGTGGGAGGAGCCGTTGTTACTGCTATTCAGGGGATGCAGCTGTAAGCAACCATGGAAGAGCAGCCTCACAACCCTCCTGTAAAGAACCCCAGCTGGGGTCTGAAGGCCCTCTCTAACTGATTTGACACAGAAGAGCTTCAGAAAATAGAGAGGGAAAAAGGATGTGCCTGAGTCATTTCTGTGTAGCGCTCAAGGCCGGTTTAAGGACGCTCGTTAGCCCTTCTCCCCATCAAAGGCCCGGTGCCTCCTCCCGGATGCTCCCCGCTGCCGGGTCACTTCAGGGCTTGGTGCCTGGGGCTGAAGCGGTTGAGGAGCGTTAGCGTGTTCAGCCTCTCGGCTCTGGTGGAGGTACCTTGTAGCTACGCCTGGAAAAGCCGAACAAGAGCCCTTTGTCTGAAACTCGGGTGTGAGCAGGGCTCAGGGCAGGTCTGTTTCAACTGGAGTTGGTGACAAATTCCAGCCTGTGAAAAGAAGGCGGTGGAAGGTCACTGGTGGTCACTGGGCTTGATCACACTAACACGTCCAGCTGCGGATCTCGGCATCAGGAGCGAGGGGTAACCGAGCCTGGGTGAATTTTCAGTTAATTTTCAGTCGGTTTCTTTCTGAACTCTTCATTTCAAACTTTCAAATAAAGTTCTGAAGTGGGAAGCTAAAGAAGAAGAAAAAAAAAAAAAATGGAAAAAAAAAGGACATCCCTTCCCCCTACTGAATGTTATCGTAGGATGGGAGTAAAGCAAAGCGACCACGGAGGGATTTTTCCCTTTTCCTTAGGGCGTGGTGCCCTCGTGCAGGACCTCCGCGCCACTGAGCCCCGGGAGCAGCGGCTGTTGGCAGCGCGTCTGCGGGCTGAGCTCAGACACGAGGCTGAGTGTTTCTGCGGGGTTTTGGGCAGGTGCCTGACGCGGGCTGCAGCTCCGGCGCTTCTGCGGCATTTCTTGTCCCGCTGGGTGCTTTGGCCGGGTGGTGGGAGGAAGGTCTGGGGACTTCGGCGTATCCAGTGTCCTCCGTTGCGTTAAGTCCTAGGGAGGCAGCACGGCGTTCGCCTTGCCTGCCGCCCTCTGTCCCTAACACTTCAGGCCGGAGTAGGAAACGTCTCGCTCGTGGGCTGCTACGAAACGCGACGGGATCTGTGGGCAATTGCCTTCTGGCCCCAGAGGGCTTTGGGTCGAGTCTTTCGTACTGACAAATCATTGTTTCCTGTGCAACTCCTGCTCCCCCAGTGGAAAACCACTTTCTACTCCATCTCCAGCTGCTTTTACTTTTATTCCTTTCTTTGTGTTTTACATCTCTTGACAATACCTGTTTGCTACAAGTGAATCTCACCTTATCGTTCACAGACTTGTTGCCAAAACATCTCTGACTTCACCGCCATGGCCTGAAGTGAAACTTCCAGATCCAGTAGAAGAAGCGAAGTATCATGCAGGTAAAGGTCTCCAGTCTCCAGCTGAAGACTAGCCCTCCAGTATTGCCACTGGTGGCCCCGCTGAGCATAAATGTCTTCGATGATTGGAGCTAGTTTGTGGTGTTGGCATTTTTGTCCCATTTCTGCTGTGTGTTAGTGTCGCTGGACTTGTGCTCCAGTGCTGCTATTGGGGATTTGGGTAGAGTATGAGGTCTCCTTTGTTTATGGCAGCTTGTAGCGCTCCCAGAGGAATCTTACCCGATGTGATGTGTTGCTTTCTAAAACATGAAACAAGCCTTTTGGACAGGAGAAAACAAATACTTTTCTTTTGATGGTTAAATCAAAAAGCTAAAGCCAGCATGGGCAGTTGGGTGGTGGGCACATCAGAGAGCTGGTGTGTTTAGTGCGTGACCCAGAGCACTGGGGCCAGCGTAAGCAGGTGGCTGGAGGGCACGTGGCAGAGCTGCAGGGGTGTGACGTGAGGCAGTGAGCGGCTGGGAAGTGACACGGTGTCAGTGAAGGTGTTCTTGTCCCCACAGCCCGTCAGGACGGTTGGACACAGCCAGTGGCCCTGAAAGGGGCGCGTGGGCTGTCCGGTGGTCCGCCCCCAAGCCGGCGGGTGCGGTGCCCGTGGCTGTTCAGCGGCCATCCTCGTCGCTCGCTGGAATGCGTCAGTTGTCCCCGCGACCAGGCACAGAGCTCCTGTGTTTGGTAACGGGCAGCCGCGCTGCCTTGGCCTCGGGGACGTCTCTGCCGTAGGCGGGAGAGCCCCGGGCGGTGAAGGAGCGAGCGAGAGGAGCAGAGCCGAGTTGGGTCCACCTTTTCAGACAGGCTCCTGTCAGCTGGCTGCAGTGTGTCACGAACTGCGAGTGATGGGCTTTGGGGAGAGCCTCCTGCTCCAGCTCTCCTCTCTGGCTGTCTCTCATCCTGCTTTTTATCTCCTCTGCGCTCCTGGGATTGCTCAAGTGACAGAGGAGCGTTCTGTCCCCGGGTGCGATTTGACCCAGTAGTGAACCACAGGCTGCTCAGTTTGATTGGCAGAAGCCCTGTGGTGAGCAGTCCCACGTTCCCCCGATGGATTCGCATGGGATCCTCGGGGCCGCTGTGATTTCTGTGCCGTGTAACCTCCTACTGTTTCTGAGCTGGCATCATTGTGCCCTGGCTGTGCTTATCCAAAGCAAACAACAGCGAGAGCGATTGAATTCCGCCCTCTGTGGCTATGGAAACAGCCGTGGATGTTCTAGGGAGGGTCGCTCCGCATGGTGCGGAGATACGAGCCGTACTGGCCGT